AGAAAGAAAGAAAGAAAGAAAGAAAGAAAGAAAGAAAGAAAGAAAGAAAAGACAAGACAAAAGAAAAGAGAAGAAAAAGAAATCACAACACTCAGTTTCTATGATAGAAGCTGAGCCTATCATTGTGACCTTAACGCTTAGGAAGTTTCAGATAACTCCTTGATTATCAATCACTGCTGTACTCTCTGGAACAGGGAACTGTCTGGCATGGAGGCTGTTAGAACTTATCCTAAAGGCTATTTCAAGGTTAGAAACTAGTAAGAAAATTCCAGGGACCAAGCTTCCTTCATCATAATGGAAGCAGCAGAAGACCTTCATGCAGGGTTAGAAAGTATCGGGAAGACATCTCTGGGAAGAATAGCACCGAACTAACTACACCACAGAATAGCTCCTAAATAGCAGTATTTTAGAAAGTCTTAAATGTATAGTCATTACAGACAACTGAACTTAAAGGGAAGTTACCTCCTAAGAGGTCAGAACATTTTTTTAAATTTTTAAAAAATTTTTGTTTTTGAGAGAGAGAGAGAGAGAGAGAGAGAGAGAGACAGAGTGTGAGCAGGGAAGGGGCAGAGAAAGAGGGAAACACAGAATCCAAAGCAGGCTCCAGGCTCTAAGCTGTCAGCACACAGCCCAACATGGGGCACAAACACAGAAACCATGAGATCATGACTTGAGCCAAAGTCAGACACTCAACCAACTGAGCCATCAGGCACCCCAGAGGTCAGAACACTTTAAAAGAAAAATGCAAATAGCTTAACATTATATATGATAAAATATAATTCTAAGCTTCATTGTTAGAAATGCTAGTTCTTGAACCACTAACTTGACATGTATTTTTTTAAATCATGTATTGGGGCATTTGGGTGGCTCAGTTGGCTAAGTGTCCAACTCTTGGTTTTGGCTCAGGTCACGATCTCACAGTTCATGAGATAGAGCCCCACGTGGGCTGTGTGCTGACAGCACTGAGTCTGCTTAGGATTCACTGCCTCCCTCTCTCTCTCTGCCCTTCCCCCTGCTCACAGGTACACACGCGTGTTCTCTCACTTTCCCTCAAGATAAATAAACTTTAAAATAATAATAACAATAACAATAATAATAATAAATAAAAATCAATGTTTTCCAATACTTTTGTAAAAATTATATGAAATGAATAAATTTCAATTACTGAACACCATGTGCCAAGACCTATGGCATTGTCAATGTGAATCAAGTGCCATTTCTGCCTTCAAGGCTGCTAATATATACTAGTTATGTTGATCACAGAAAAACACTCTAAAATGAATACCTAAAAACCTATTTACAGATCTAGCTTAACTCTCAGACTTGTGTGTGTGACACTCCACAATTTAATTAAGCTACAATCTCCCGCCAAACTTTCTCCTTTCCAGTACTCAAAGGACTGAATGGCAGCGGTAGATCATTGGGAACTTACTTCAAAGCATTATCAATACTATTACCATGCTGTGGAAACACACAATATGTTAGTATCATCAATATGGGGCCAAATATATGTGGTATCATTACAATCACCTGATCTGAAGAGAGCTAGTCATAAAAATTGAACAGAAAACCTCTAGGTATGAATTTAAATGGCTTTCTCTAATCCTTAAATACTTTAGGTGAACTGCTTTCCATGAAACAAAAAAGTTAAATACTTTGCTTCTGAAAGAGCTTTGTTTTTAATAATATAAACAAATTTATTATAGTCAAAATTATTTCCTTCTACGTGTGTATGTGCACATGCATGGTTTAGAGGAAACAAAACTGAATTCTTTAGAAATAAGCTATGCCTGAAGAAGATGATTATGCACGAAGAGAACACTTTATCTTACAGTCCAGAAGAAGATCCCAAGGCTGCTGTTTCAGAGTCTAACCCTTGTCCAGCCTGAGAATATACACACTCTTCCAGAGGAAGAGAACAGAAGAGTTCCAGGGGTGTTGTTGAATTCACATTGGGTGAGATCATCGGGAGTTATTTCTAATGCCAGGAAGCATTTCAAAATTAGTCCCACCACTTTTCAACATCGCTTTTTTTCCATGGTGGCTTAGGGCCGAGACTTTGATTTAAACCAGAAACTCAGGGAATCCCTGAATTAGAGGCAACCCCTTTGCTGGTATTTGGTATTCAGTGTGCTACTGAGGGAAGAGGGGTGAAGCAAAGTGTGTCCTGAGGTAAAGGTAATGAAAGTGTGCCCCGACAGAGGCAATGTGGTTTCTGACAGGCTCTGCAGACAAATTCTGACACCTGGGATATGGAGTTCTTGGACTGATACTATAACTTCTGTACGGTTTTCTTAACCACAACTAAGGCTGTATTCGCTTCTTTTTATGCAATTATCTACACGACTGCAGAAGTAACTCACAAAATCTAAAGAACTTTATGTTTGCCAAACACACATTTTTTTTTTTTTTTTTGGCCAGCTTTGAACAGAACTACTCTGCCCTCATAAAAGCAGCTTTTAATATTGGTTACTAATCTCGAGGCCAAGTTTCAGGGATTTCGTTGGTCTATACATACACCAACCTTCGCTAATCTACAAATAAACGGATTTTTTTCTAATCATACAGCCTGGATTTAAAGGAGTCTGGCAAAAGTCATCTTACCAGCAGTAGTCCAGCAGGTGCGGCGGAAGCACTGGGATGTATATGTGCTGCCAGTACATTGGGTATAGCAGGGCAACTGATCCATGGAGACAGGCAGTTAACTAAAATTTGCAAAAGGATAGTAACAACGGTAAGTAGATGCCGATCCTCCAAACAAAAAGACATGCTCAAGTCATCCAAGATGAATGACAAACATAAAACAATTTATTTAGTGACCTAAATCGCATTGTCTGTACCAAATCTCCCAGAACAAAAACCGATCTGATATTGCCAAAGCCCCTCTGAAGAATACTTTCAGCAAAAGCAGCTTCCTGGGCATCTTACGGAGACAGTGATAACTACCTGAAAAGACAGCATTTGGGGTCAAAGCTTAGAACATAAATAAAAGTAAGACTGAAAAACTGGGTGAGCAGCTTAGGAGAAATTGTAGGAAATTACAACGTGTGCAGCACTCTTCGCGCCTCGCTCGGATTAATATACCACGATTAAATATGGAAAGGAAGGGAGGTTGAAAGCTCCTGAGGGATATCATTAGGGCAAATTGCCAAAGAATGAAACATGAGCCAGTCAGGAGAGTCTGGAAGCTGCGCTAATACCAGGGGACCTGAATGCTCGACAGTTGGAGCTTCAGTAATGTGTGAACTGCGGGTTATGGTATCAAGAGACGCTGTTCACTGACACACAGAATGTCACTATTGACCAGCGAGCTGCCCGAGCTTGACAGCTGTGCTACAGGAAGCCAAGTATATCATAATTCCATATTTAAACTGTTCATTTCAGATTAACATTTTGTTTCCTAGCCTTATATCACAACAGCTGCAAATACATCGATGCTATTTTAAAGGTAATTGCCATTCTAATTGTTTTGTTTGGGCAAGCAGTTAATTAAATATTTTTAAATGCCTAACAAAAGGATATCACTTTATCTTCCCTCCCTCCTACTGACCCTCATCAGAATTCTTTCCATGGGACTTTTTGTTTTCCATTTTAAATTACATTTCTGTAAGTGCTGATCCTTTTTTAATGTTTAAAGCAATAATTAAGTCAGCATTCTTCATTTTAAAGTTTTGCTCAAGTCAGCATTTCAAGCTTACTAATTAAATCATTTGGTTCAACTTGAAAATCGGAATTTAAAAATACTACCGTCTGAAAATGAACCAAAGACTTTCTCTAACCATTATTCCTGTTTTATTATACAAATAAATTAAAATTTATACGCAGTAATCAAATTAATTTAGAAGGATAAATGTATTAAAACAATTCAATCTTAATAGAGACATGTGTCTATATTTAAGTGCAAAATTGTCCCACTTTAAAAAAATTAAAGAAATCTAATCTGAACCAAAAACATAAAAATTTTGATTAAAATATATCCCTTTTCATCATATGTATTTTTCCAGTTAGATTTTTAATTAATTTTATATGGCAAACAATTTTTTAATTTTTATTTACTATGCTATCATTAAAGGATTGTATTAGTACTTTGCACCTACAAGTTTTAATACTTTATCTACAGTATTCCTTCAATACCTATTATTTTTAAAAATTCCTTAATTAGAGCACAGAATATGCCACTAGGAGGCATTCAAATACTTTCACTTAACAATGACAGACCATGGGTTTGTCTTATTTGAACCCTCATAGAGGGAGATGAAATGGGGTTGATGTAACTTAGTCAAATTCTCTCAGGTACTCCCTCCTTGTAAATTAGGCATCTTTAAGGCTGTACCAACTCTTTCCATCCCTTCAGTGTAACCCAATGGGCCAAAAGCACTTACATAGCTTTGAAAGGCGGCTACTTTACTCAGTTTCTCCATTTGTACACAGATGACTTTTAAAACAGCTCATTTAAAAGTTAAAAGGAAAACGTTCCTTTTTTATTGTTAAGAAAATAACGGTGTAACAAGAAGAAAACTACAATCCCAAAATGAGGACTAAGGGTAACTTATTTTACTGAGTACACCCAGAGTCCAAAGCACTCTATTCAATGCTATCCAGACACTTTCCCTATGTCCTTAGTGCTCATCTTAAATGAAGTTATGAACTATTCGTTAGTCAGGCACAACAATATCATCTGATGAATTTGGCCTCATAGAGGGTGATTCCTTTATGTGACAACAGAGTTGCCTAACACCTGCAATGGCCAGCATGTGGCAAAGGGTCATCTCTGCTAACCAAGGTTCTCCAGGAAAGAAGAAGTTCTACAGGGTTTGGCAACTTTTTGGATATAGGGGATAGGTGACAGGGAGAGGTAAAAATACTACCTCTCCATAACCACGGTTTCTATCCTAAGCAACTAGGATGAATTATTTCAAGTAATACAGCAAAAGTGTTAGGTTCAGGGGGAACTATAAGGCATTTGTTTTTGCAAATACTGATTCTGTTAACTGTGAGATATCCAAGTGGAGATTTCCAAAGGAGGCAGAGGCATGCCAAAGACCCCCCATACTCCCCTAGCAGCATGTAATAGCTATGTGAGAAAACACTATTGCAACACATACTTTGTGGAAGAGATAATAAAGTAGTAGGTGAAAAAACACAACGAAGAAGAAATAAATTTACTAGGAAATGAAACACAGATTATATATATATGTAAGCTGTACAAAACAATAAGAATGAAGTATATCATAGACAAAATTAGGGTTCTGCCACTAAGAAGTTTGTGTAACATCTGGCATGTCTGCAATTATAAGCAGAGTTGTTTCCTAATCTTTCAAATAAGAAGTATATGCTAGGTGATCTGTAAGCATTATCTCCGAAAGATGTATTTATTCTTAGATCAGATCAATTCTAACATGACATATTCTTTGTAATAATTAACAATTTTTTTCCATATAGGTGGTTAATACAACCAGACTATACATCAGACCCACCCCTTCAAAATACATCCAAAGATCATCTCTACAACCTTTGAAGTACATGAAGTAACTGAGCAATTGGAAATACCATAATAAGTTACTTGCTTAATTCAAAAAACTTTTTGAGTGCCTGCTATGCGCTATCATAAATCTCTATCAGGCTGTAGGGACACAGTACTGAACAGTACTGAATATGGAACTTAACATATTAGTAGGGAAAGCAAACAATAAAACAAAATATATATTATGTCAGAGGTAAGTTCTATGAGGAAACCTACAGCAGGGTAAGAGGGTTGAGAGTGACAGAGGGGCTGTTTTAGACAGGAGGGTTAGGGACATACTCTCATGTGGTGACATCTGAACTGAGACCTGACTGATACAAGGGAGCCAACTGTTACAGCTCAGGGGAGAAGCACATTCCAGGCAGATGAAACAATGCATTCAAAAGTCCTGAGGTGGGAACAGACTAGGCATCTTCGCAGAGGAGTAGGGAGGTCCACATGATTAGACTGAACTAAGTGGGAGAACGGCAGGAGGAGAGGTCAGAGAGGCAAGCAGGGTCAGAACTGGACGGCCTTCTGGGACCACACCTCTGAAGAGAGAGTGAACTGTCATAACCAGTTATTTACCTAGAACATTCTGACACCCATGCAAATTAAGGAAAATAAACTATGTATTTCAGAAATCTGGTTTGCAGAATAAAGTACTATAAAGAAATGAGATCAATTTATAAGCCAACTAAAAAGAATCTTTTGACTTGTAAGTTATTAATTATCATAAATATATTGATTCTTTAAGCACACAGGAAAATGACAATCATAGTTCCTTGGACTAGAATTACCTAAGACCCTATGTACATCTGGTTCGTGATAGAACTAGAACTTGACACTGCTTTTCTAATATTCTGTCAGCTGTTCCTTTAATACCCCAGTTGTTCTTCATGAAAGCAAAGAGGGTGGGAAAAGAAGTTTCAGTTGTTTGAGTTAGAACATATCCCAGCCATTATGCTCTAGAAACTAAAGAAATAATAGATAAGGAATAATATATATTAGGGTATAACTTTCAAAGAAAAACAAATTTGCCAAATAAAGATTTAAGAAAAAAACCCTTGGGGCGCCTGGGTGGCTCAGTCGGTTAAGCGTCCAACTTCGCTCAGGTCATGATCTCATGGTCTGTGAGTTCGAGCTCCACGTCGGGCTCTGTGCTGACAGCTCAGAGCCTGGAGCCTGCTTTGGATTCTGTGTCTCCCTCTCTCTCTGCCCCTCCCCTGCTCATGCTCTGTCTCTCCCTGTCTCAAAAATAAATAAAAACATTAAAAAAAATTTTTTTTAAATCCTTATAATCTTTGTTAAGTGGCATATGAATATTTAAATGCACATATCATTTCACAAAGCATACTCAATATATTGACTGGATACAGTCCCACAGTACTGACTAATGCACAATAAAATCATTAGGAACATGTATCTCCCATACACTACAATTATAAAATAAGCATACATGGAAACCATATGAACAGAAAAGAACTGATAAGGCCTATAAAATCAAGGGGAGAAACTTGACAATAAAAGTGGATAATAGTGAACTTAGAGAATAAAGGCACTTGGAACTTGCAGCCCCAGGCTACCAGGTCTAATGTAGATACTGTCATTGATAATAATAATAGCAGGTGTTAACATAATGCTTACCATGTGCCACGCACTCTTCTGAGTACTTGATGTACTCAGATCTAATCCTCAAAACAACCTTATGAAATAGGTTCTGTCTTCATTATCCCCATTTTACTGGTCAGGACACTGCAGCAAAGTTATGCCAACTGCCCAAGATCACATACCTAGAATGTATAAAAGCCACGATACCAACCCAAGTAGGCTCCTGAGGGCAACAGCCATTATTTTCAACTACCTTTTGACATACACGCATTTAGGATTCCCAACTATATGGGGCTTTGAATAACATCTACTGGTTGAAAATATTCTATCTTAATTACACAGTGGAGAATGAGTCTCTGCACTAAACAATCAAGAACAGCTAACCTTTATAAGAAAAACTAGGGGCCTGTGACAGAGACCCAATTTACAAAACTTTCCTCAGGCATCACAGTGGGCAACTTCAGCAGGAAACCAATGCAACAGATTCTCTCAGATGTTAAAAAGACAATTGATAAAAATTCTACCAGTTATCATCTCATTTTGCATCTGCAAGAACATTTAGTTGGGAGCCAAACTAAAGTTCTTTCCCTT